TTCTTTCTGTGATCATGTTATTCATCTTGCATTCTAGGCTTAGCTCACATGCTATGCAACCTGGCTAAATGAAAAGATTTAAAAATCCTCCCAGTTCAATTGCTGTGGCAACTTGAGAGTTGAAAGAAACCTTTTATATAATTTAACCTAGTCCTTTTTGCTTTACAAAATATAGAACCTGAGCAGGACTCCAAGATGGAGTCAATAGTACCACTGAAGGAAAAGAAACTAATGGATGTCAAACAGTAGATGCCAAACTGGATTTTGATGAGGGACTTCACCCCAAAAGGCATTGCTGGAGCATTTCGGAGAGGTTATGACCGGTACTTCAACAAGTACATCAATGTGAAGAAAGGGAACATCGCTGGGGTCAACATGGTGCTGGCTTGCTATGTACTTTTTCAACTACTCGCATTGCTACAGGGAGCTTCAACATGAATGGCATCTCAAGTACCACTGAAGAGCCCATGAGGCTACCTGTATTCTTGATGGATGCTGTCTGGCCTGGCTCCCATCTGTCAACTTAATCACAGCGGAGTCCTTTCACATTCTAAGACAATTATTGCTCAATAAAAGGTGACTGGTACTGCTGTCACTGTTTGGCACCCCCCAAAAAATATATAGAACCTGAGATGGTCCAATGGAATGAGTGACTTACCTAAGGTCAAAAGGTTAGTTGGACAACTACTGTCCAATCTCCTAGATTCCAACTTCATTTATTTCTAAGAAACTGATCAATGATCCTGACTGCCACACTATCTTAGGTAGGGTATATGGCAGCTCTTTCAAAAGAGTAACCCTAAGTCAGTTATTGACATAGCACCACAGTGAACTTCCTAGTGAAGAAACAAAATGTTCTTATCAGAGAACAGATATTTTGAAACAAACACTAGGTTCTGTGATTAAGTCACTTACGTCCTGAGAAGCAAGGACCAACAGAAATATATGCCTTCGTGTAAAAAAAACCTAGTATATTTGTGGTAGATCACTTGATTTTAACAATGTAATAACTGCATGGCTTTTTATGTATTTATTTTTTCCTTATATAAACAGCACTGTGAAATGATGTGTCAACAGTTATCAAAATGTGGTCTGTAAACCATGAGAGTAAAGGTTTTACTCTTTCAAAGAGTCCAGTCTTTAAGGTTAAAAATCTTTCATAGCACCAAGGCATTATGTATCATTTTTTTCCTTGCTGACATTTATATTGATGAAAAGCAATGCTGGATAAACTGCGAGGCTTTTCTACAAGTCAAAGCAGTGGCACCAACTATGTCCATAGTTATATTCTTTATGACTCTACTCTTTTTTTTGGGTGGGGTCCAGTCGTGGGGCCTGAACTCTGGGCCTGGGCGCTGTCCCTCAGCTCTTCAGCTCAATGCCAGCGCTCTACCACTTAAGTCACAGTACCACTGCCGGCTCTTTTCTTTTTGCTTATGTGGTGCTGAGGAATTGAACCCAGGGCCTCATACATGCAAGGCAAGCACTGAGCCACCTTCCCAGCCCCGACTCTACTTTTATATGAAAAAAAATCCTTGATGTAATAGTAAAATCTCTCACCTTCTGCATATTTTTGTGGCCAAGAACAATAAAACCTCCCCTTTCCCTTTGCCTCACTGGGATTTGAGCTCAAGGTTTCATGCTAGTTTGGGTAAGCCACACCTCCAGCCCTTTTTGCTCCAGTTATTTTGAGACAGGATAGATTGCCCCAAATATTGACGATTCCAAAGTATAGCTGGGATGATAGACACAATCTATCATGCCAGGGTTTTCCTGTTCAGAAGGGAGTCTAACTTTTTTCCTTGAGGTTGCCCTGGGACTATTGGTTCAGAGGAGGATCTTGTGAACTTTGGCCTCAAACCACAAGCCTCCAAATTTCAGCTTCCAAAGCAGGTGGAATTCCAGGTATATGCCATCAGGCATACACATATATGTATATATGTAGCTTGGTTACATAAAGCACTTCTGTTGTTTGCCAGAGCCCAATAACTGTCCAGGGGATTTCAATATCCAATATCCAATATCTATCACCAAATGGTGTTTCATAAACATCATTTATTTTTAGGTAAGATTTCACTATGTAGCCCAGGCTATTCTTGATCTTGCTATATAGCCCAGGCTGGCTTCATATTACCATCCTGCCTCAGTCTCCAGTACCATATTGCTTGGTATTCCATTTTTACTTGATCAAACTATTGATAGATATATCCGTGTTATTCTGACTTAAGTATATGGCAGAAACTGTCAAAAATGTAATAAAGTGTGACTGTCATTTCCAGGAATACAGTTGACAGAATGTTGTTAGTGACAAAATTCTATCTTTCAAATGAAAAGCAGAATTTTGGCAGTCTTCTAACAGTCAAAGACTTTTCTAATGGGACAGATAATGACATTAAGAAATGTAATTGTTTGACATCATATAATACAATATGTCAGTTCCAGGAAGAACTATGTAACCCAGTGCAACATTAATTTTCAAATGATTTCCTTCATGTTATAAAGTCATGCATTGGTAGAAGACCAATTAAAAATGCAAGATGCTCCCAATGGATTTTAAGTGTGGGTTCAGATTTCACTTTGCAACTAAACTTTTAAAAACTACTATCTGTCAAACGGTGTGATACCAAACAACATCCATGATTACTTATAAAAGTTATTGAATAGTTTTCCTTCCAACTATATCTGAAAGTCGGGTAAAATGTTCTTTATTTTCTCAAGCTAAATCAAAATAGTATACCAAATTAAATGTGGAAGCAGACGTCTGAATCCAGCTATCTTGTATTATCAGATATTACTTTTGCAAAAATGCAAAATAATGGCACTCCTAAAATAACTATATCAAAACCAGAAAATAAAGTGTTGTGGCAACATGGAGAAGTTGGAATCCTTATACATTGACTATGGGAATGTAAAATGTAAAATAGTATGGTGGCTCCTCAAAATACGGAACATAGAATTACCATGTAAGTCAGCAACTTTTCCTTGGCGCATACAGCCCAAGGAATTGAAAGCAGGCCCCAAACACATATTTGCACAAATGTGATAGCAGCATTATTGTCAAGAACCAAAGGACAGATACAACCCAAGTGTCCATTGGGTAAACAAAATATTTCTGTACAGAACCCACTTAACTAAGAAATACTTCTCCTTTTTTATGCTGCTTCTGGGCTTGAACTTAGGGCCTAGGTGCTGTCTCTGAGCTTTTTTTTTGCTACAGCTCGACTACTTGAGCCACAGCTCCACTTCCAGTTTTTTGGTAGTTAATTAAGATACGAGTTTCCTTGGCCTTCGTTCCCCTGCTGGCTTTGACCCATGAGTCTCAGATCGCAGCCTCCTAAGTAGTTAGGATTACAGGTGTGAGCCACTGGTGCCCAGTATCTAAGAAATACTTTATAAATACCTCCAGTTTTAAGTTCTTTTATGGTAAGTATGGGCAGATACAATCCACATAAATGCAAGCTCTTAGGTTCTCAGCAATTTTGAGAGGTACAGGGGTTCTGAGACTAAAAAGTTTGAGATCAGCTGTCTTTCACAAAGATTCATTCTGTTCCTCACATAGTCATTATGTGACTTCTTTCATTTGTTGGTATTGCTTCATTTGATAGTGATAGCTATTATACCAACTTGCAGCAGGGAGACCAGCAAAACCTTAAAAGACAGCCTAAAATATGGTCACGATCATCACATCAAGTCTTCACTGCTGTTCCCTGGACTCATGAGAACTACAAAGATTCAGAAACACAAAGCTCCTTTCAAAAGTGGCAATGTACAATAGAGAACTATAAAAAAAAACACATAAATGATGGTGTGTTCCAAAGTAGTGTTGTAGATATCAAGGGAATAAAGAAAAACCTCACACATTTGTTTTCTTCTGCTGAGCCTTCAGTTTGGAGATTTGGGCAAGAGGGGTGGCGGCGTCATTGTTTCCCCAAACCAGTGCCTCCGTGCCAAGAATTTCATTCTCTCACCATCTTGTTACTGGAGGGTTGCAGAGGGGTGTGGTTATGAGAGCAAGGAAGCAATCCTAGCCAGCAGCAGCCCCGGCAGCCTGAAACCACGCACAAGCTACAGTAATTCTGGGCGAAGTCAGGAGGGGGAAAGAAAACCCAGACGGAAGTTAGAAAGCACAAGCGGAAATAAATCACAAGACCAGAGCAGTTTCGTGCGCGGACGGGAACGGCCAGCGTGCTGACAGTGTGCGCGCGGGTGCGAGGGGGACCGCTCGGGTTCGAGCGGCGGCTGCGGCATTTTCCAAGCCAGCTCTGCGGTGGCGGGTGTGGGAGAAGGTGGGAGGGTCTTCGTACCCCGCCCATCGTCCCGCATTCATTTCGGGTTGGGTCGGGGTCGGGTCTCCCAGACTGCGGCTGAGGCCCACCCGAACAAAGGGGAATGGGTGTCCTCGGGAGGCACGGGGAAGGGAGGCCCCAGGAGGCCGCGCCAGGTGTTCCGGAGGGGCCGACGGAGCCGGCTGCGGGGAGGGGACGGTGTGAGGAGCACGGCCGGGGCGCGGAGAGGCCGCGCGCGGCCGCCCGGCGTGGCCCAAGCCGCCAGAAGACCCCGCTGAGCTCACGGTCAAGGTTAACGCGCGCACCGGAGGTACCTGTGGAGGCCTCGCACAGCTGAAAGGCACCTGGCGATCATGGGCACACCGAGAGGCCGGCAGCGGCGGACGCGAGCTCCTCCGGTCTAGGGGGTGCAGGAAGAAGGCGGTGCAACCCGGTCTCCCGGGTGCCCACAGTAGGCCTAGCGGAGGAGGCCACAGCGTTGGAACCGGCGGCGGCCAGCCCTGCCAGCGCCCTCCCACGTGCGGCAGCCCCCCGCCGCCCCCGCCCACAGCCACGCCCCTGGCCCGTCTGATCCCGCCCATAGCCACGCCCCTGGCCGTCCTGCCACGCCCTGGGGGCGGAGCCGGCGAGACCTTAGCGTCTGGGAATCTTGCGCGCAGCCTGGTGGGCTGAGGGGGCGGCGGCGGCGGCGGCGGCGGCGTGGGAGCTGGAGAAGTTTGGGAGGTCGCAGGCAGTGCTGGGATCCCCAGCCAGGCTAAAGCCTTGAGGACGAGGGGGCAAGCGGCCCCCTCACGGACGCTCCCCGGCCGTCGGCCGTCGTCTGGCATCCTCTCGCTTGGTAAGGGGCTTCTGTCTGGAAACGGAGCGTCTCCCGCAGCCCCGGACACTGGCCCGCACCACACACCGGCTGCACACCCCGTCTGGGTTGAGGCTAGGCCCGGGTGCGCGAGGGAGGGGGGGAGGCCTGGAGTGGGAGGTGGGTATGAGGAGGAAAAGCCTAGAAGAGGTTGCACAGCTCATTGCTCCTCTGCACCCCATCATCCACCCCCGGGTCTCTCGTCACCTTCTGCCCTGAGGCCTTATTTAGGATTTCTAACTAGCCTGTGGCCTAGAGGCTGGGCTGGCCTTTAAACAACTAATAAACATCCTAGCGGCGGGTACCACACCCTGGCTTTGAATTAGGGAACCTGGGGAGCAGATGGATGATGCGATTTAGTGGAAATAAGCCATTAATGCCGGCTGGCCCTGCGCCTCTGTTTGGATGCGATAGTATTCCATGTGAATGAACCTGACTTCTAGCTTGTGCATGAGAGAGAGCCAGCTCAGCTACTGCAGAGCCCTGGTCGGTTTGTAGTGTCCGTGGGCATGGGCAATGGTTCCCTGACGTGTCTGCTGATTAACTAGATATGCCATTTATCAATAAGAACGTTCCATGATTGAACAACCTTTCTTGAATGTATTTCCTTATCAAATAACTCAGCCTACAAAAGTAGGTGGAGTATAAATTTTTAATACATTTTTTAAAAAAAAATCTCTTGAAATAGAGGCTCACCTTCTGAGTCAGCAGGATGAAACCTTCCTCAACTCAGTACTGAGGCCTTTGGGAGTGAATTTCTGTGTCTTTATGTGCAGTCTTAACCCTTTTATGTATATTTATCATATATTAAGGTTTAATGAGAATCTAAGCTTATACATGTTTTGAAAAAAATTACTGATGCAGCTGGGCGCCAGTGGCTCTCACCTGTAATCCTAGCTACTTAGGAGGCTGAGATCTGAGGATAACAGTTCAAAGCCAGCCCGGGCAGGAAAGTCCATGAGACTCTTATCTCTAATAAACCACCAGAAAACCAGAAGTGGTTCTGTGGCTCAAGTGGTAGACAGCTTACCTTGAACTGAAAAGCTCAGGGGCAGTGCCCAGGCCCAAAGTTCAAGACTTACAACCAAAATAAAATAAAAATTACTGATGCAAGATAGTCTAATACTATTGAGTTTAAATAAAAATATGTAATAAATTTCTGTAATATTAACTCTCCAGATCCCAAAGATTAAGGTAATGAAAGTTTTTTTTTTCTGATTTTGTTTTTGGTGGGTTTTTTTGGTACTTCGAGGAGCTTGAACTCAGGGTGAGGACACTGTCCCTAAGCTCTTTCACTCAAGGCTAGCACTTCACTACTTTGAGCCACTGTGCCACCTCTGGTTTTCTGGTGGTTAATTGGAGGTAAGAGTTTCATGGACTTTCCTGCCTTGGATTTGAAAACTGATCCTCAGATCTCAGCCTCCTGAGTAGCTTGGATTGTTTTTTGTTTTGTTTTGTTGCGAGTCCTAAGACTTGAACTCAGGTCTGGGAGGTGTCCCTGAGCCTCTTTGTGCTCAAAGCTAGTTTCTACCACTTGGACTACAGTGCCACTTCTGGATTTTTCTGGGTAGTTAATTGGAGATAAGAGTCTCATGGACTCTTCTGCCCAGGCTGGCTTCCAGCGGCAATCCGTAGATCTCAGCCTCCTGAGAAGTTAGAATTACCAGGCTATTTCTTTTAACTTTTAATGTAATATATAGCCCTTACCTTTATAATTTCTAACTTTCTTGAGTGATTCCTAGAAATAGCTGGGGCAAATTTGTTCATTTTTCTTATCAAGGAAGTTTAAGCTTCTAAAATGTCATCTATCAAGCACCTTGTTTATGCAGTGATCCGGTTCTTGCGGGAACAAAGTCAGATGGATACATATACTTCTGATGAACAAGAAAGTTTGGAAGGTAGGCACCTGTTTTTTTGTGTTCGTTTGTGTTACAAAGAAAGACCAAAATAGGTACAAGCCTGAGCTTATACTCCATTATAATAAAATCTTAATATTTGTTGATGTCTGAAGCAGAGAGGCAAAATTGTACCTCTTATTTCTGTTTTTTGAAGCATGCTTTGTTTTAAGTAACAACAGACTACTCATTAACAATTGACAATTACCATATCAGCAATATGCCATTCAATAGTATAGGGAATGTCTTTTTTTTAATGACAGCAACTAGGTAAGTATTATTCCCACTTAGCAAATGAGGAGATGAAACCAGAGGAGGTACAAAACACAACAGCTAATATGTGACAAGCTTGAGGTTTAAGTCCTGGTTCCTGCTCTGAAAATATTTTTCTCTTTTTTCTGTAATAACAAAGTATCCAGTTCAGAACTAATACATGAAAGTACCTTAGTCATTGTAATAGCACTATGTAAAAATCTAAATAAATAAACCATTAGTGTGCTCTGACATGTACCTGTTTTGAGACTTGAAAAGATTCCATCCGTGTTTTATGTAAATTTTAAATATTGGATTTGGTGATCTCTAGAGTTGAGCAAGACTTGGATCATAGCATCATGTGTTTACTTGACACCATCTTTATGCTTCATGTTTATGCATTGTAAAATTTAAATACAGCATGACCATAATAAGATATAATTCTGCAGATGAGCTTGTGGTGCTTCAATGAACCTAACTTCTTTGTGGTGTAAAGACTTAATTATTGCAATGAGAATTTGGGAGAATTTAGCAAATAACAGTGTAGTCTGAATTCCCCATCTTGAAACAGCTATATACTTCTCTTGTAAATCTGCTTGAAGGAGGAGAGAATGAAAATTGGGTATTTGCTTTAAATCCGCTTGCAGTCTGGTAGGATGATGTCTTTCTATGTGACAGTGAGAGGAGCAGGTGACGCACAGTTGGAAAACATTGCAATCAGTCCCTTTAATATTAATGTCTTTTTTGTTCTTCTTCACTGTGAGAATGTGTGAAGATAAAGGTGACTGGTTATCTAAGGAAATTGTTGGTGATAGTTGCTCTGTAGCAAACAGATACATGCAATCATTTAATAAAAAGATGTTTCTTTTCTAACCAAAGGCAGTGTATTTTTAAGGGCCAGAAAAAGAGTTGAGAGTATTTTTAAAAACCAAGATGTTATGTCCTATTTTTAGCATGGTATTCAGCCAAAAGTATGTGCCTTCAGCTGTTTGTTATATTTGGCAGTCAGATATTGTGCCAATTGTTTGTGACTGACCCCTATTTTTGACTCTCTAAGTCTAATTTAAATGAACATGAAACCATGTGGAGGTGTCTGCCCACCTTCTAGACATTTTAAAAAGTCCTAGAAAAGAAGCATCTGTCCTAACACTGGCTTTGCCCAATTATAAAGTTTGTGTGTCATCAGCTTTGAGTCTTGTTATTATTGTATGTTATCCATATGGGGACATGGTGATGTACATCTATAATCCCAGCTATGTGGGAAGTAGAGATAGTAGGATTTTGGTTTGAGGCCCACTGTGCCAAAGTTAGCTAGAGACCCTATCTGAAAAACAGACAAAAAAGTAAAAAGTCTAGGGGTGTGACTAGTGGTAGTGTACTTGTTTAGCAAGCTTAGAGCTCTGAGGCCTTGAGTTCAGTCCCCAGTATTGCCAGAGAGGTGGGGAAAGAAAAAGAAAAAAAACATCATGGGTTCCTTTTAGTTGACAACTATGATATCTGCTTCACTTCTGGCTTTTGAAGTTGTTATGCCACTTTCTTAATCATTACTCCTGGTCTTAACTCTGATAGTTCCTCTAGTTCCCTTGGTTCTCAGTTCTTGACTTTTTCTCCTTCAGTGATCTTATACCCTAGGTCATTAGTTCCAATCTTTGGGTGATTTTGCAAAGTCTTGAGGCATTTGTGGTTGGAACACTGTTGGGGGAGCTGGTATTGCTGGCATGTAGTGAGTAAAGAACATGGAGTATGCATGGACCCTGACAAAAAGAATTATCTGATCTAAAATGTCAGTGTGCTTGGGCGCCAGTGGCTCATGCCTGTAATCCTAGCTATTCAGGAGGCTGCGATCTGAGGATCTTGGTTCAAAGCCAGCCAGGGCAGGAAAGTCCATGAGACTCTTATCTCCAATAAATCACTCGAAAACTGGAAGTGGCGCTGTGGCTCAAGTGGTAGAGCACTCGCCTTGAGCTGAAGAGCAGGGACAGCACCCAAGCCCAGAGTTCAAGCCCCATGACTGACAAGAAAGAAAGAAAGAAAGAAAGAAACCCTTCCCTATACCTTATCATTACCAAAATTGCATTTCTCCCATAATCTCTACCTTAAACATTTCACTTCCTCATTATTACTGTCTATCATTCTAGACTACTCCCTTCTAGAATCCCAAAGAATCCTTCCTATCTGTTGATATCTTACTATTCCCACTCTGATTCTTACCCATCTTTATCCTTTTTTTTTTTTTTTTTTGGGTCCGGTCGTGGGCCTGAACTCTGGGCCTGGGTGCTGTTCCTCAGCTTTTCAGCTCAAGGCTAGCACTCTTCCATTAGAGCCACAGTGCCACTTCTGGCTTTTTTTTTTTTTTTTTTCTTATGTGGTGCTGAGGAATCGAACCCAGGGCCTTATGCATGCAAGGCAAGCACTCTACCACTGAGCCACCTTCCCAGCCCTTCTTACCCATTTTAAATTACATGTGGACCATCATAATCATTTTCTTGTATTTCCTTCCCTTTCTTTCAGAATTCACCCTGGCTTAATCTAACTCCATGCCTACATCCAAGTGGCTGAATTGATGGAACAGAATATATAAGTTTGTTAACTGTTGGTATTTGGTATTTGAATTCTTGGCTGTGAAACTCCAGCAGACTTTTTTTTTTTTTTTGGACAGTTGTGGGGCTTGAACTCTGGGCCTGGCCGCTGTCCCTCAGCTCTTCATCTCAAGGCTGGCACTCCACCACTTGAGCCACAGCGTCACTTTCGGTTTTCTGGCGGTTTATTGTAGATAAGAGTCTCTCAGACTTTCCTGTGTGGGCTGGTTTGAACTGCAATCCTCAGAGCTCAGCCTCCTGAGTAACTAAGGATTACAGGCCTGAGCCACCAGCACCTGGCTTTTTTTTTTTTTTTTTTGGTACTCATGGGTCTTGACATCAGGGCCTGGGCTCATGGCTAGCATTCTCCCACTTTGATCCACAGCTCTGTTTCCAGTTTTTTTTGGTGGTTAATTGGAGATAAGAGTCTCAGGGACTTTCCTGCCCCATTAGCTTTGAATCCTGATCCTCATATCTCAATCTGCCAAGTAGCAGGGTTTACAGGCATTGAGCCACCAGTGCCCAGCTCTAGCAGACGTTTAATGTTGCCAGGCAATCATACTATGTGTTCTATACCTTCATATTTTCATTACCCTCGGTGATCAGTTGTATAAGTTCACATGGCTTTTTAGGACATTCCCCCTATACACACAGAAAGATAGGAAGGAAGGAAGGAAGGAAGGAAGGAAGGAAGGAAGGAAGGAAGGAAGGAAGGAAGGAAGGAAGGAAGGAAATAAGAATGAGGAACTTTGGCCTTCTGACAGCTATAAAGAGATTTGTTCTAGTGACAGTAGTATTTCTTTTATGACACGGAATTTTCTCAAGTTCACAATGATTACATAATGTGTTTTGTAGAAGACACATAAAATGTGCAGGAATCTGTTCTATACCATCTGGAAGCACATTGGGTATGTTGGCAACATTCTTGGTTTCTTTCACACTAGAGCACTATCAGGATGGGAATCCTTCTGAGAAGACTGGGTCTGCATTCTTCTTGGCCCTACTCTCCATCATGCTCCTCACTTGTCCATCTCATTTATGCAGGAACCTACCTGGTTTTTCTGCTTCTATTGTTCCACATAGCTTCCCTTTTTTATTTATTTTTATTTTTTTGGTGGTTTTGGATCTTTTTTTTTTAATTGTGAAAATACCATAGAGAGGGGTTACAATTACATGGGCAAGGTAATGAGTGCATTTCTTACCAAGCATTGTTGCCTCCTCCTTTGTTTCCCCTTCCCATCCCATCTCCCCCCACGCTCCCCCCCCCCCCCCGCAAAGTTGTAAAGTTCATTTTCGACATAACATCTTGTACATCTCATTATTGCAAAGGGTCCACCTATATCCCTATTTAAACAATTTGTTTTTTTCCCTTCCCCTCCACAAATTATACCAGCTTCCCTTTTTAATCCATCCCCAGTACTCCTAGAAGACTTCTAGTTCTAAACACAAACATGACTCTTTCACTAAGTCTAAATATTTTATCTTTTTTTTTTTTTTGGTAAGGTATTGGAGTTTGAATTCAGGGTTTTAACTGCTTAGCCAAACTTTCAATCCTTTTTCCTTTAGCTTGTTTTTCAGATAGGATGTCATTCTAACTTTAAACAGATTGTTCTCAAATTGTCCTCCCATCTCTGCCTTCCATGTAGTTGGGACTATAGGTTTTTGCGACCATGCTTGGCTCCCCCTTCCCTGCATTACTAGATTTGAACTTACAGCCTTACACTTGGTAAGTGCTCTACCACTTGAACCACACCTGCAGTCTTTTTTTCTTCAGTAATTTTTCAGATAGGATATCTATCCTCCCGCTCACTCCTCCTATATAGTCCAGATTGTAGGCATATGCCAACATGCCTGATTCCAGCTTGTTCTTTGAGATAAGATCTTTGCTTTCTTTTTTCCTAAGTTTTTTTTTCAGGTGGGGGGAACAGGATGGTAGGGATGGTCTTGAACTGCAGTCTCCCAAATAGTTGGGATTATAGGCATGAACTACCCCAAAGTCCAAATCATTCTCAAATCCATTTCTCATCTGCCTATGTCAGATGACAAACTTCCTTTCTAACATAGTTTCCTTTGTATCCAGTCTTACTCTTATACTCCTCCCTAACAACCACTTACCTTTTCCACTATCATGTGGACAGTGATTTTTTTCCTGTGAGGTTGATTGCTGCTCTCTACCACTTTAGAAGAGCATAGTACACACGGGCACTTGAAAAATTTGCATGAATGAATGAATTTTTAAATACTAACCTACCTTTATGTAAGTGAGTGTGCTGATTAATATTTAGTGCTTCCTTTGTGCTAGATATTTTGTTTCTGTAATTTTTTATTTTTTAATCAAGAGTTCTATTTAAAATATATATACTATTTTGTTTGTTCAAGGGATTAAGACATTGGTGATTAGTTAAATAGATGTTCAGGAGTAACTTGTTAATGACCTGATTTTCTTCCTAGTAGCCTACAAGAATTTTTGGATATATTCAAAAATCATATTCTGTATAATATTTACCTTTTTGGTGAATAAGAAACCATTGTCTTTCCATCAATATTTTGTTTATAAACAAAATTTCTGTGTAGCTGGGCCAGTTAGATTTCCTGTTGCTCTATGTTCATAAGTACTGACAGATTACAGTCCTGTTAGAGAAAAAAAAATTAGTTACTAATTTTTTTCACAAAAAATATTTGTTTCAAGTTGCAATTCAGTGCTTGGAGACAGTTTTTAAAATCAGCCCAGAAGATACACACCTGGCAGTTTCACAGCCTTTGACAGAATTGTTCACCAATTCCATCCATAAGGTATGTTATTATTGTGATGTAAGAATGATGACAATTTAGTTGAGGGACTTAAGTCTATAAGTAAATAACTTCTTTCTGGATATAAGATAGTTTATATGATTTAATTGTGGTCAAAAGTATAGCTTATCCCTTATATACTTTAGATTTTATATTAGTAACATTTTTCTCTCTCACCTTTTATATTCAATGATACATCTTTGTCAACATTTTAAGTCCTTTATAGTGTGAACATTTTCAGATTTCTGACATCTAATTGACATACTTCTAAAACACAAACTACCTTTAAAAACAAAAAGCTTAAAGTCTAGAAAGTAATCTTGCCGAAACAAGTTCATCTGGAATTGAATCATTTGTGAAGTGGATTTCATCAATTTAGTTATTGAAGGGATTCAGGAAAACACAAGTGTTCAGGATCAGTATGAAAACCCTACTTTTCTTATCCCTTCTCCCAAGGACTGTTTTCCTAGTTTTGATTTCTGTCCGTTTCAAGAAATGTAGAGACTATGATGCAATTTGAGGGGTGAGGCTGTAGCTCAGTGGGGGAGTGCTTGCCTCCTCTGTGCAGGGGCTGTGGCCTCTGTAGGAAACCTTGCTTCAATAGCTGAAGTAGACCTTTACTTGCAGGTTTCTGAGGCTGAGACAGCACTTAAACTTGCTTGCTCTTTAGCTACTATCACCATTGACTTTGTACTGATGAGATCTGAATTTACTTTCATTTTTCCTTTCATGAAGTTATAATTGACTTTTATACTCTTAAGTAAAACTTTTTTCCCGTTTTACTATATCTCTCTGATTATTTTATTTGTAAGAAATTTGTTGCATGCAATTTTTAAAATATAGTTGCTCCCTAGGACAGCTACTGCAATGTTATTTATGGTGTCATCGTCCTTCTGCAGTCCTCCCATGCAGCTGTGGCTTACTTAGCAGACTGTGGCAGCAGCAGTTTAGGACTTATCTGAAACAGCCTCCACATTATATAACTAATAAGAAATACTTGTCTCACTTAGTGTACTTGTATGGTATTTTGGTCACTTTTATAATACTGGTTTTCTTTTGCTATCCATAACTCTTCTCATTGGCTGCCTGAGGCCATCTGCCTGTACTGATAATTTTGTATGGCTTTGAATGATATTATAATTATCAAAATGGCCTGGCAGAAAAAGAGCTCCCCTGAAGTTGCCTAGATTTTTAAAAATCTATAATAGAAGGAACCCTAAGAGCAAGTACTGTAGGACAGTATTTTGTCTTTGAACTACTGTATATGTAGTTAACCTCTTGAAGTTTTCCATTTCATTTCTACTCTCTTTATTCCAATATTTTCTACTGGGATAAAGTGATTAATAAAGATTTTTTTTAAAAGACAAAGATAAAACTTTTTGTCAGTGATTTTATACTTTTGAATGCTTGTGCTATATTTATGTTAGATCTATCCATTTTCTTGAAACTTTAGTGAAGACAAAGGCAATGGTAGATATATTTTAAGTAATGCATAGCTGCAATAGCTATAAATTACACTATTTTCAAAATTGTAAGCTGGGCACTGGTGGCTCATGCCTGTAATCCTAGCTACTCAGGAGGCTGAGATCTGAGGATTGCAGTTCAAACCAGCTTAGGCGAGGAAAGTCTGTGAAGCTCTCATCGCTGATGAACCATCAGCAAACCAGAAGTGGCACTGTGGCTCAAGTGGTAAAGTGATAGCCTTGAGCAAAAAGAGCTCAGGGACAGCACCCACGCCCACAGTTCAAGCCCCACAACCAAAACAAAAGAAAAATTTTAGACTTATTTTGAACTTTAGGGTCAAGTTTAAAAGTAATGCAATTTCAAAAAGAGGTTTTCAAAAATGAAAAAAAATACATTGGGTTTTTAGTTCCACTCAAAAGTATTTCTGAATTTTCCACTCTTAATTTTCCTTTGTTTTGAACCTTATTAATGCAAAAATAGTTTGAGGATGATACTAAATGCCAAACAAAAACTTTATAAAGGCTTCTATTTTAGAACAAAATTAGTATATATTCATTGTTTTAAATATTCTATAGCTATGTACCTGTGACTCATGACTCGTGTGTGTGTGTGTGTGTGTGTGTGTGTGTGTGTGTGTGTGTGTGTGTGCCTAGCTAATCAAGGGGCTTGAGATCTGAGGAATGCAATTCAAAGCAAAAGTTCGTGAGCCTCTTATCTCCAGTCACTCACCAGAAAAATAAATAAATAAAAAGAAAGAAAAAGAAGAAGCCAGAAGTGCAGATGTGGCTTAACTGGTAAAATGCTAGCCTTGAGCACAAAAAAGCACCAGGTTCTGAATTCAAGTCTCAGAAATATGTTTACATGTTTTTGTGTTTTTTATTTTATCACATTGCTACAGATTGAATGCACAGCCTTGCACATGTTAGGCTAGTACTCTACTACTGAGCTACATTCTCAGCTCCTCCCAATACTAGATTAGATATTATTGTTAACCTTTTGGTATTAGAGTTGTTTTTTCATTGCTAATACTAAGGTTTGAAATCAAAATCTTTTGTTTGCTCCGCTAGTATTCTGCCACTTGAATCATGCCTCCTGTCCAGCTTTTACTGGTTATTTTGACGATTGGAATCTTACAGACTTTTCTGCCTGGGCTGACTTGGAACCTCAATCTTCAGGATCTTAGAGTAGCTAAGATTATAAGTGTGAGCCAACTGTGCCTTGCTTCTAGTCTTTGTGTGTGTATGTATGTGTGCCTGTACATATTTAAATAATGATCATTACCATAAATTTTTTTATTGGTAAACTGATTTTTGACTTTTTGTATCTTTTAGATAAGATAGTAATAAAGATTTTTCTTCAAAAGTTTCCCTAGTAGAAACATTCCATTTTTTTTTCTTAAAGTAGAACTGCTGGGGTTGGGAAAAGCAAATTAAAAAATCGATTCACAGTACTTAGAAAAACTCAACAGGATCATATTTCCAGTAAAAGTATGTAAGAAGACTTCTCCTCACTTCTTATTAACACTAGTATTTAGGTGTTAGATTTATATAAAGTGGAAATACAGGTAAGTTACCAAAATGTGTCAAATTATTATTTCTTCATTTATAGTATTCTAGGATGACTTTGTAGTCAAACAGAAGTACATTGACTCCTATTTGCTTTCAGAATGACATTTTGCCCCTCTCCAACTCAGTTCCTGAAGATGTGGGGAAAGCTGATCAATTAAAAGACGAAGGTAAGTATTTTAAAAAGAATGATTTATTTAGTAAAATCTTCTGGAGAGAGTAATTGTTAGTTGACAGGTTGCTTTATGTGACTGGCCTGTCACAAGTTCACATGATGTTCGTGAAGGAGAAATGAATGTGATGGCAAAAAAAACTTGGACAAGCAGAACCTGGTCTCTCATAAAACTTTCAGAACAGATCACTTAGGGGGCTGTTTACTACATTGTCTGCTTGTACTCTAGAATTCCATATTCTTCTTTATGCTAATCAAAGGGGAAATTAACTTTCAGTATTTTAACTTTCATGCATTCTGTGTTCTTCTTTGAAGTTTGTTAATGTATGTATATAATACCTTTACTAGTAGCTGACTATTGAAACATTCTTGCTCTTTTATAAGTAAGTCAAAAGTAAGGTGTTTTTTTTTTTGTTGTTGTTGGTCATGGGGCCTGAACTCTGGGCCTGGGCTCTGTCCCTCAGCTCTTCAGCTCAAGGCTAGCACTCTTCCATTAGAGCCACAGTGCCACTTCTGGCTTTTTCTAATTATGTGGTGCTGAGGAATCGAACCCAGGGCCTCATGCATGCAAGGCAAGCATTCTACCACTGAGCCACCTTCCCAGCCCAATATTAAGGATTTGTATTTAGTTTTTCTAGTCTTTTCAAGGGGTAGAGGAGTGCCAGGTTAGACCTACAAAATTTGTATTATGATGGTATAAGGCACAGACCTTGTCCCTTGAAGTAAATGAAAGCCACCAACTTCCTTGTTATTAGGAAATATGCTATGTACAGAAGCTATATGTGGACCATTTTTTGGTCTCCTTTGTTTCAATTAAGTAGTTGAGGTCCTTTTTCTTTTTAATCAGTTGGTGTTTTAAAAGTTATATGGAAAAGAGTATGATTTTCTTGTTCCTTGGGCCTGGTCATCTCCCTAAGCATCAAATATACATCTGTGTCATTGTTTTTAGTAGCTGGGCAGTGTCACAGGGTACTGTTGCTTGCTACCATGAGTTTCCTAGAAAGGTACCTTGGTAATCCTCAGTAACACTGTTTTGGATGGATGTCTTCATTTATTCTATTTGTTTTTGTTTTTTTGAAATATGTAGCCTTAATCTCATGGTGCTCCTTCCTCAGCCTCCTTAGAATTATAAGTATGCACCACCGACCTGACTCGGAATCTTCTTCCTTCCACTACTTTTTGGTTATATTTTGAGGGTTACATTATAGAGTGCTGTTTCCAATAAGTAGATTTGTTTTAGTTTTCATTTTATTTCCTCTGAAAACTGCTACCACTACAGTGGCTTAAATCATAGAACAATATAACCTCACAGATTACATGCAAAACAAACCAGATCTTATCAATATTCCCCTAAGAATTTGGACTTAACTATCTAGATAATAAATGCATTTTCATGTATTAGTTTCTGATTGCACAACTTAATATGTTTTTTTCCACTCAGGTTTTTGTAGTACATGAAATCTTCAGTAGTGAAATATGTTTTTTGCTAGTATGTGCATACTATATATATGTTATATATAAATACATATATAGTATATATATATATATACATATACATGTATAATATATAGCTTATTATTAATATGTGTATGGATACAGTATATTTTTGCACTTGGGTTTACTTCTAGTAATAATGTTGAGTAAACATTAAATTAAAATGGTATTTTTGTCTATCTTCCTGTATGGAAGAATGTTGAGAATTGCATTCCCTTTCAAATATTATTTTTGACATCATGTAAGATGAGGGTTAGGTGAACATGTTGGGTTAGACTCATTTAATATGAGTCTAACCCAATAATAGTCAGAATTATTTACTATTTTTGTCTTTAACTAAAAGCTTATATTCCTTGTTTTCATTAAGACATTTCATCTCAGACATGTTACATGTAAAGTTAAAATGATTGGCATTTCATCTAGTTTTTTTTTATTAGTGGAAAAACAAATGACTCTGGTAGATTGTCAAGCATAAGGTTATTCCAGGCTATGTGTTGTACATATCTGACTGTATTAATAAAGGATTGTAGCTACAACTGGGCACCAGTGGCTCATGCCTGTAATCCCAGCTATGCAGGAGGCTGAGATCTGAGAATCATGGTTCCAAGCCAGCTGGGGCAGAAAACTCTGTGAGATTCTTTTTTCTTTTCTTTCTTTTTTTTTTTTTTTTTGGTCGGTTATGGGGCCTGCACTCTGGGCCTGGGCACTGTCCCTCAGCTCTTCAGCTCAAGTCTAGTGCTCTACCACTTGAGTCACAGCGCCACTTCTGGCTTTTTCTGCCTATGTGGTACTGAGGAATCGAATCCAGGGCCTCATGCATACAAGGCAAGCACTCTACCATTGAGCTACCTTCCCAGCCCCCTCTGTGAGATTCTTTTTTTTTTTTTTAATAAGTTTTTTTATTGTGAAAAATACCCTGCAGAGGGGTTACAATGACATGAGCAAGGTAATGAGTAATTTCTTATCAAGCATTGTTGCCTCCTCCTTTGTTTTTCCCTTACCATCTCTGCCCTCCCATCTCCACAACTACACTTTCCCTCTACCTCTGTGAGATTCTTTTTTTTTTTGGTCATGGAGCTTGAACTCTGGGCTTGGGCGCTGTCCCTGTGCTCTTCAGCTCAAGGCAAGCGCTCTACTGCTTGAGCCACAGCACCATTTCTGATTTACTAGGGGTTTATTGGAGATGAGAGTCTCACGGACTTTTCTGCCGGGGCTGACTTTGAACCTTGATCCTCAGATCTCAACCTCCTGTGTAGCTAGGATTACAGGCGTGAGCCACCAGCACCTGGCCTCTGTGAGATTCTTATATCCAATAAATGACCAGAAAACTGAAGGTGGAATTGTGGCTCAAAGTTATAGAATGCTAACTGTGAACAAAAGAGCTCCGGGATTGTACTCAGGCCCTGAGTTCAAGCCCCATGACCAACAACAAAAAAGGATTGATCTTAGTTATATAGTATCTTCCTAGAACACTGCTTTCAAATATTTCATATATTTGGCTTTTGAAGAGCTGCAGAAAAAGCAGAAGAAATCAGGAAGAGTTTCTTGCTATCATTACCTAATAGGTCACAGAAGTAGAGAAGTATCTCACTGGGTTCTGAAATGAAGACACAATTCTTAGAGGAGAATTGGTATAAAGTGTGACACCAATGCTTCATTGTTGTATTTACTTTCTTCACAGATTTCATTCATGTCATGTATTTTCATATGCTGAATATTTTGTGACTTGAAGCTTTTAAATTATTAAATTATATTATGCATATATTTTAACATATATATGTACTTTATAGTAGCTATATTTCTAAGGTAGTATATAGGAAAAAACCACAATAAATGGGGTAGTAATAATGATAAGAATAATAAAATGTGACCCAAAACAAAAAAGCCACACTACAACAACAGAAATCTTAATCACTCAAAAAAAATAAAATAATTGGAATAGAAATCTAAGAACCCCAGGCTAATATATCTAATTTTTTGCTTAAGCAAAAAAAGTTACATTTACCCCTCTCCATTCCCTTGGAAGGCTTAATATTCATGTTTTTTCCCTGGGAAAAAGAAACCCAAATTAATTTTTGTAGTTAGAGAAAACAGGTTTTGTGGGGTATAATTTACATACCATAAATTTTATTCCTTTACCAAATATAGTTCATTGGTTTATAGTGTATTTTCAGAGTTGTGCAGTTATTACCAGAATCAATTATAGATAACTTTTTGTCATTGTAAAAGGAAATTAGGTACTTATTAACTGTTATTTTTTATACTCTGTTTCCTAATTTACAGTAACTTTCCTGTGATTTGAGGGGCTTTGTCCTCTTGTGTTTCCTTTATCCTTCCTATTCACTGCAAACTTTCACCTGACCTTTTATTAAGCACAGAAAATTGAAGCTGGGCGCCAGTGGCTCATACCTGTTATCCTAACTACTCAGGAGGCTGAGATCTGAGGATCACGGTTCAAAGCCAGCCCAGGCAGGAAAGTCCATGAGACTCTTATCTCCAATAAACCACTAGTAAACTAGAAGTGGCACTGTGGCTCTAGTGGTAGAGTGCTTGCTTTGAGCTGAAGAGCTCAGGGATAGCGCCCAAGCCAGAGTTCAAGCCCCACAACCGATGAAAAAAATCCTACAAAACAAAACAATAAAACAAAAAAGTGGAAGGCATTGTAGAGGCCTCTGAGATATAAATCCTTTGTAGCAATTTTTCTGATGTTTCTAGTTGTAAATATTGGCTTTCACAAACACAGAGGATACTGTCCTCCTCCCCTATTTAATGGTAGTGAAGAGATAGTTGCAGGAAATCCCTTATTTTGCTGACCAGTTGCTAAATTGCTGCCAGATGTATCTACAGATGTCCTTCCTGAAAATCAGTAATCTGTAGGTCAGCCACAATATATAAAATTCTGCCTTTCTAGAAAGTAATCTCCTAAAATCCCCTTTAAAAAAGATTCTATCTCTGGAAAGATAGCTCATAGAAATATCATCTGCCAATATAACATATTAGCAGGATTAGTTTCGCCAGCTTATCCACAGAGCTCTCTGAGAGCTTCACTAGTAGGCAGGGAAAATCAGGTCCAGATTAGATGGTGCTAGGGAGGAATGGGATAGGGCCTCCCCTGCAAAAGGGAATAGTAGGGAGAGGAATCTGAGGAAGGGAGAAAAGATCAGATTTTGCCTTTAGATAATCATGATGATTGTATTGCCTCACATGAGGCTGCAATTTAAAACATACGCAAATCTTAATTTGTAAGGCACTGCATCGTTAAAATGATTCAAACACACTGAAGCTGAGAATACCAGCTCTATAACATTTGTCCTCAGTGTGACCAAAAGATATTCTGGTAGATTGACCTTTGTATTATTATATATTTAATTCTGTGGTTAGAATTTCTCCGAGAGACAATATTTTTGCTATGTACTTCCTGTGTATATCACCTGCTTTATTCCAGGCAATAATCATATGAAAGAAGAAAATTATGCAGCTGCAGTGGATTGTTATACGCAAGCCATAGAACTGGATCCCAATAATGCAGTTTACTACTGCAACAGGTAACTGGGCACATCATGGCAGGTTTTCCATTCTTAAACATTTGGATCAATGTACATGTACATGTAAAAACCTGATATGCAGGAAGGAAGGTAGGAAGAACTGAACATTTTATTGATTTAGAAAGTTGGGCTGGGAAGGTGGCTCAGTGGTAGAGCGCTTGCCTTGCATGCCTGAGGCCCTGGGTTTGATTCCTCAGCACCACATAAGCAAAAAAGAAAAAAGCCGGAAGTGGCGCTGTGGCTCAAGTGGTAGAGCGCTAGCCTTGAGCTGAAGAGCTGAGTGACAGCGCCCAGGCCCAGAGTTCAAGCCCCATGATCGGACCCCCCCAAAAAATAAAAATAAAAATAAATAGAAAGTTTTGAAAGCTTAATTAAAAAAATATAAAGGAGGGGAAAAAAGAATCTTACAAGTTTGCCATTTGGAGGCAGCCACGCTTAATAAGTTTTTGGCGTATTTTGTTTTATGTAAGTGCCTGCAGTTTTAGATTTAACTTTGTTTACTTGGATAGACTATTACTGTGTCCTAATGTTGCTGAAACATGTCTTAAACATTATTTCGGTAGTTATAAATTAGTCTTAGGTCTGGCAAACAAATACTCTGTTATTTTTGAATCAGTAGCTAGATGAAACTTAATTGACTCTTGACCTACTATGGGAATTGAGGTTGTTTCCATTGCCCCTCCCCCCAATATCATCAAGGTACAGTAAACATTTAAGTGTCTAAGAATTTTTTAAGTGTTTTCCAGACCTTGACTGTTCCTGGGTTTAAAAAAAAAACTTAGTCTTACTTAGAAATTTACTAGGAATGATTTCAGAATTGGGACAAGAAAAACATAAATTTATTAGTACCTGAAAATTAGTGCCTTGAAAACTACTTACAATGTATCTCTTTCCTTTCTCTTAGGGCTGCTGCCCAAAGCAAATTAAGTCATTACACTGATGCAATAAAGGACTGTGAAAAAGCAATAGCAATTGATTCTAAGTACAGCAAGGCCTATGGGAGGATGGGGTAAGTTCTGATACAATGTTCAATGTACTAACAAGTAGTATGAGGTACAGGTTTTAATGGTTTTGACTTTTAATTTCCTGCTTAACATTGTACCTTCTGAGCTAATTATAAAGTAAAGATAATTTAAGGGAGAAAATGACTACAATTCCTCTGACTTGGTAGTGAGATGACTAGTTATTTTATGAGTGGTTATTAGAGAAAAGTCATATAAATGTGAGTCGATTCATTTCATGGCTATGTCTATAAATCTCAAGATAAGCACTAAAGACCGCCAAATAGTCTTATTATTTTTCTTTCTGAATTCACTTTTCCATTCTTGGTATGATTATTTCAGCCTTTTATCCCATTTTCATTATTCATCCATCGTGACTCAGCTGATGATATTACTTTATGCTTGAGAAAATAGACCCATTTTGAAGAAGACTGTTTTTCCTACTTCCAAGTTCATTGATCTATCTACATTTGTATCTATATAGAGTTTCTCATTTTATGCCTGTTACAATAGAGTGCTCTATTACCTAAGACTATCATCTCTACCTTTGTATATGTGACTTCATACTTGTAATGATCCTCTTTGTCTTCTACAGTGTGGTTTTCTCCATCTCTAATAGCTAATAATAATACCAACCCTGTAAAAGATAATTGGAAAAATCCTTAGAATTATCCTTTCACCCAGTGTTTCACTCCAACAACCACCTCACCTCTCAGTTCCTTTTTTGAAATAAACACCTGAGCCTGTCTCATTCTCATCAATTCATGTTGTATCTTCAGCACATTCCATATACCTTTGTCTATATTACTGTTATGGTTTATTTTGTCAACCTGATGGGGTTAAGGGATGCCCAGATTGCTGGAAAAACATTATCTCTGGTTGTGTTTATGGCAGTGTTTCTGGAAGAGATTAGCATTTGAAGCTCTAAATTTGAGTAAAGATTACCTTCTCCAACAAGAGTGAGCATCATGCAATTCTTTGACAGTCCAAACAGGCAGAGGCCTGTGCTTGAGCAGGTATACCTGTCATGGGCTCTTAAACCTTGGAATTCCTGGATCTCAAGTATTCTGATCAATCTACATGTAACACTGTTATCTCAGTGGTTCTCAAGGTTCAAGTAAGGATTAGAACTGCACCAGTTTACAGATGGGAGCTTCTGTAATTGAATGAGCTAAAACTTCATAGTAAATCTCTTTTGATATATCTTCTTTTATGCTCCTCTGGAGAACCTTGACAAATACAATCACTCTACTGAGATAGCTGAATTCAAAGTCAACAGTTTGGCCATTATTTCATTAATTTTTTGAAGCTTGTGTTAAATTTTGTATTACCATCCTGTCCCCCTTTTTTAGTATTAGACACAGTTAACTTATGTTTGTGACTGAATGCTCTTTTCTACTCTGCCTTGCCAGTTCTTCCTCCTTTGCTACATCTGAAAATGGTATATTCCAGGGCTTTTGTTCTCTGCTATTTCTGTTTATTTGTTCGCTCCTTTGACCTCATCTTGTCCTCTGCTTTCAAATGCCATCCATAGTTATTTTCATTACTTACAGAATCTGTACTTACACATTTATGAGCTTAGTAATTACTTGTAAATCCCAGTTCAATATTGACTTACAATCCTTCAGTGGTCATTTATGGATATTGACTAGTTGTGAAACAATTGGCCTCCTGATATGTACTATTTCAGTGGAGGCTGAATAAAGTGAGACTTTCTCTTTTTGCTTTAGCTTATGCTTAAATGATCAGTTTGGTAAATGTGTGTGAGTGTGTGTGTATAATCCTTGTGCCTTTTGTTTGTGATTTTGCTGTTTTCAGTGACATCTACATAAAAGTTGAAGTGTTCTCTTTTGTTCTAAGGGCAAGGCTCATACATATCTGCTTCACAGATAAAGTGGATGTGTAAGATAAGCTTTCCCAAGAATGAGTTAGTGCTGTTTGCAATAAGATTAATGCCAATGAGTCAACATGTGTATTAAATAACCTTTAACAGAAGCACATATAAAACAAGATTATAATTGATCAATTGATAACAGGTAACTTGAGGTTCATATGAACCCAATCTTGCATTTTCCTGAGGAATAATTGTTTTGTATTTGCTAATTTAAAGTTCATGGATTCTTTACCAAATATAATGTTTGTATATTGTTTGATTTATTTGTGTGTCTGAACTCCATATTAATATATTAAACTACTTTTCATCTCTATGTGCATGTATCTCTATATCTATACATGTCTAGCTATAATTTTCTAATACATATGTGTATATATACATATAAATGTATATGTATTTGTTTTTACACAAGAGATTTTGAGTCTAAGATCCATATATGAGAGAAAATGAAAGTCTTTTGTCTTTTTGACATGGCTTTGTCCAGTATGGTGTTTTCTAGATCCATCAGTTTTCCTGAAAATCTCATTATTCTTAATGTCTGCATAAAATTCCATTTTTAGTATATACTTTTTATTGTAAAGATACTGTACGGAGGGGTTACAGTTACACGGGTAAGGTTATGAGTACATCTCCTCTTGAGCATTGTTACCCTCTCCTTTGTTTTTCCCCTACTATCCCTTCCCTCTCCACCTCTCCCACTCCTCCCTCCTCCCCACCCCTGAAGTTGTAAAATTCGTTTTCAACATAGTGTCTTGTGCATCTCATTGTTACAAATGGGTCAAACTGTATCTTTATTTCAGCTTTTTGTTATTTCCCTTCCCCTCCCCAAATTAGAAAAATGTATAAAAAAAGATGCAGGACTAAAATTCCATTTCATGTATATGTATATTTATATGACTACAATGTGTTTGTGTGTGTGTGTGTGTGTGTGTGTGTGTGTGTGTATCACATTTTCTTTATCTATTCATTCATTGTAGGGTATCTGGGCTCTGTCCATAATTAACTTGGCTATTATGAACTGCTCTGCAATGAACATGGGTATGCAGGTGCCTTTGTTGTAGCCTGTCATGTAGTCATTCAGATAATACGTAGGAATGATATCACTGGATCAGATGGGGTAGTTCTATGTTTAGTTATCAATTTAACAACTAATGTGTTTTTTCAGGAATAGTCGTTTGATACCTCACAGCCTACTTTTTTATGGCAAATTGGTATTTATTGTTGCTCCAAGGTCTCCATTAAGTAGGAATATTGTGGGATATATTAGAGCATACATATAGTTTATAATCTTTTAAATAGTATTAGTACATTTCTTTTTGAACAGTGTCACCCCTTCCCTCGTGCTCTCCTAGTTTTTCTCTTCCCTCCCCACCCACAAGTTGTATCATTCATTTTTAGCATAGTTTGTAGTGAGTATCACTGCTGCATTTGTTTACCCTTTGTCCCACCATTTCTGTGCCCCCCCACTTACCTTCTCAAAACAGATAAACAACTTACAAACAAAATGTACAGAAAACAAAGACAGCAACAAAGGGAAAAAACCCTTCATTTCCATTTCTTTGAGTTCATTTTGATAAACATTATTTCATATGATCATATGCACATAGCTGTTGAGCCTTTTTAATCCTCTCCTAAGAATATCCTCCTTTGGTCTAGAGATTTGTATAATTTATCATGTCCTAGTGTATTTTTTTGTCTTTTATATGCATTGTATTTACTTGCAGATTTATAGGCACCTTCTAGTTACTACAAAATGAAGGCAACCATGCAGCCTATCTTTCTTTGGGTGTGACTTACTTCACTAATGTAATTTTTTGCAAGTTTTTCCATTTCCTTATGAATGGTACACTATCAGTCTTGCTGATGGAGGAGTAGAATTCCATTGTGTATTCTCATTACCGGACTTATGTAACTGTAACCCCTCTGTACATCACCTTTACAATAACAATAAAATATATATTAAAAAGTTTTTAATATCAGAATAAAAATTTCCATCCCTAAAAATATTAATATTAATGTATTTCCATGTCACAGGATTGTTAGTATCAAAAATCTTTGCAACTCTCACTATAGACATTCATAAAGAAAATTACTTCACATATTAGGCTAAAAATGGAAGGGTAGGTAATTGAAGGGTGTCTCATTAACTTCATGATCCATATGGGACAACCAAGTTTGTCAGCAAGCAGAATGGAAAGAATTCAGATTTACAAGGTTTTTGAATTTAAGACATATTTCTGTCAATTACAGCACAAGAAGTAAATTGTAATCTTAGTTAATTATTATCAGAGTTGGACACTAATACAGATATCTGACTTAGTGACATTCTAATGTTCTTTAGTGTAAATTATATCATCCTGTATATTTTCTCCAGGCTGGCCCTCACCGCCATGAATAAATTTGAAGAAGCAGTTACAAGTTATCAAAAGGCTTTAGATCTTGATCCTGAAAATGATTCTTATAAATCAAATTTGAAAATAGCAGAACAGAAGCTAAGAGAGGTATCTAGTCCTGTAAGTTGTTATGTGAAATGAGTAATCACTCATTTCATTTATAATTTATTGAGATTAAATTGTAGTGGTTGCAATGATTTTCAGATATAACTCTTTTACAGACAGGAACTGGATTGAGCTTTGACATGGCTAGCTTGATAAATAATCCAGCTTTCATTAGTATGGTGAGTATATTTCCCTTTCTGGTCTACTGACTCTGTTTCTCATAGAACTATGTCTTTCAGTAGCATTTTCTCCATACTTTTTAAAAATACAAACTTTAGGCTTCACACATTTATTACTATGCCCATTCTTGAAGTAACCAAAGGAAAAATTGGTTTAAAATGCCCAACTGTTAGTCCAAGCAGTGTTGACATATCAGCTTGACTGGTTTACTGTAGAGCAATAAATAGGTGAGCATTTGGTGCAATTCCATACAGATACAGCTTAGTTCTTCTCTTGATGTTATGCATGATTTTGTTACCAGTTTTTATCTGAATCCACTGGGGAATGAGATAATTTTGCTTTTGTTTATTGACCAGGAACTTCTTAATTCTGAAAGTCTTGTGAGAAGACATACTGAGAACCCCAGCTAAGCATAGGAACCATGATAGCAGACCTTTTCTCATACTTTTACGAGAGGAGTTTCACTATGGCTGTCCAGCTGACTCCAAACTTTTTGGCTCAAGAAATACTCTTAGCCTTAGCCTTCAAACTAGCTGGGGATATAGACTCCAAAACTTTTAGGAACCAATGAGGTGGTGATGGTACTCATGTCAGAGGCAGGAATAGAGATTCTTCATCTATAAACCTTCCTCTGAAGGAAACCAGAGATGGACCTGTGGAAGAAATAGCTTCCCCAAAGAAGCACATGTGGATATGAACATTTTTCCTAGTGAAAAACCATGTTTTTCATTAGATAGCCACGTGAGTCTGAAAATACATGAGATGTTAAAACCCACTGGGTTATATGAAACTGGCCCTAAGAGGATATATCTAACAGTTGAGATGGGCAGATTTGGGCTGTTGTGGTTCCCTAAGCTTGCCCCTCAGCTTTGTCAGCTTTGTTTTGTTTCCTAAGAGTTGATTTGGGGCTGAGTGTAGTTCAAGGGTAGATTGATTGAAAAGAAGAAAAATGGGATTTTGGAGAACATTAATAGAGTTAGAGAACTGTTCTACATGTCCAGGTAGTAAGGAGGCCTGCAAAACATCTGTAGCCCAGTAAGAATGAGCTTTTCTGGCTGGTCGCTGGTGGCTCACACCTGTAATCCTAGCTACTCAGGAGGCTGAGATCTAAGGATCGAGGTTCAAAGCCAGCCAGGGCAGGAAAGTCCATGAGACTCTTATTTTCATAAAACCAGAAGTGGCACTGTGGCTCAAGTGGTAGAGCATTCACCTTGAGCTGGAGAGATCAGGGACAGTGCCCAGGCCCAGAGTTTTGTCCCCATCAGAGCCCCATGGAATAGCCACATCTCCTACTTAGAGGGGAGCCTCTCAAGTGTAGGAGATCCTTTATACTCTTATTAAACTATTAATTTTTCCTTTTGGCTTAATTATGTCTCATCACTAATAGTAAACATTGTTATCCCTATTTCATTTTACAGTATTTACAGTATTGATCTGTGATCTCATCTTTGTGTGTGTGTGCTGGGGGGGGGGGAGGTGTGGTGTGCTAGTGTGTGCTTGTACCGGGGCTAGAACTCAGGACCTTGCACTCTCAGCTTTTTCTTTCAGGGCTGACACTCTACCACTTGAGCCATACTTCCAATCTGGCTTTTTTGCTGGTTAATTGGAGATAGTGTTTTGGATTACTTCAAACCACAGTCCTTAATTCTCAGCCTCTTGAGTAGCTAGTATTACAGGCATGAGCTGCTGGTACCTGACTTGTTATGTCTTTTAGTGCCAGTTTTTCCAGTGCCTCCACATCTTTACTTTACTTTTTGTAACACACAAAACAGAACGTTAGTATATACTTTAACTTTCAGTTCTCTGCCTTTGAAAACTTTTGCTAAAGATCCCTATTACTGTTTTTAATGGGAGATACTATTTTTCAATTCTAGGCAGCAAGTTTAATGCAGAACCCTCAAGTCCAGCAGCTGTAAGTATATTAAAGAGCTCATTCACTTTCCTTTCTCCCTGACAGACTCCTAATTAGAGCATATCAGCTCAGAAATGATAAAACTGCCCTGATACCAATCAGGGAAACTTAAAGCCACTCACATTTAACCTTCTTCTATAAAGCTGATTGTCTATTTAGCTATCTAAAACACTTTCCAGTTTTCCTACTGATTATGAATATATACTAATCTCAATGATGTATCTCTTGCATGACCTAGGATGTCAGGAATGATGACAAATGCTATTGGAGGTCCTGCTGCTGGAGTTGGGGGCTTAACTGACTTGTCTAGCCTCATCCAAGCGTAAGTGTTACTTAACAGAAATAATAAAAATATATTTTCTTTTTTAGTTTCTAAAGGTGGATACCAGAGGGTTTTTAAAAAATCTTTTACTGTTAATAATAATAGCTTCCCTAGAGTTAGTAAATCTGAAAGCTTATAGTTATCACTTTTCAGACAGAACATCAGAGATCCATAAGACCTGTGTTGTTAGGCAGCTCTACCATGACAAGAGCGATATACTCTTTTCCCTCCCTAAGGGACTCTCATGTACCTTCTTAGTAGAAGAAAAGAATATTTTACATCCTTGTTCAATAGCTAGTGAAACAGAAGTACAAGTTTGAAACAGAGTTTCAGAACATACATGGCAGAGCTGCCTACAGTTAGTCTTTGTTGGTTGTGGGACCTGAACTCTGGGCCTGGGTGCCGTCCGCAGCTCTTCAGCTCAAGGCTAGCGCTCTACTACTTGAGCCACAGTGCCACTTCCACATTTAGTCTTTTGACTAAATTTGATACTTGATTTTATTGTTATTAGGTCCTTAGTTTCTTTTCTGGAGATATCAATACTAATTGTCTTCATTGACAAAAGGCCTAAGTATTGGTCACTTGCTACTATTGGAGTATATTGCAGTCTCTTGTAATGGAATTAATCTTCCATTTTACCAGTGAAATGTAAGAAAGGTTTTTTTTCTGGAAGAATTAAATACTTACTCAGGTTTATAGATGAAAGTCAAATTTCTATTTAAAATGTTTTAATTTAGATATACATGCATATTTTATAATCATGTTTACTTCAGTAATAGGGCACTTGGTTAACATTCTTAAGCCATGGACAATGCAAAGAAATAGTTATTTTACATGTTAGTACCACTTAGAATACATCTCAAAAGTCATCACAAGAGGGACAACTTGGATCTTATATCACATTACCTTCATTTCTACCATTGCATAAGACATTTTCCTTTTTGAATTTGTATCTGATGCTGTTACTCAGTTAATATTATTTCTGGTTTTTTTTTTATTCCTTTCTTTTAGTACTGAGCTTGAACTCATGGCTTAGTGCTCTTGTTCCTGGCTTGGTGCTCTACCATTTGAGCCATGCCTCCAGCATACTGGTTATTTTGGAGATGGGATTCTTGTAGGTTTTTCTGCCAGGGCTTTCTTTGAACCATGACCCTCAGATCTCAGCTTCCTGAGTACCTAGGACTATAAAGGGGCATAAATCACTGGTACCTAGCTTGTAATTATTGTTATTTTCAAATTATCATACATATATAATATGGTTTCTATGTGGTATTTTCATATATGCACATAGTATACTTGGAATAAATGACTTTTTAATCATATTTCTGTCACTGGAAGTTTTGGTTTTTTTGGGGGGGGGTTCAGTCGTGGGGCCTGAACTCTGGGCCTGGGCGCTGTCCCTCAGCTCTTTAGCTCAAGGCTAGCACTCTACCTCTTGAGCCACAGTGCCACTTCCGGATTTTTTTTTTCTGCCTATGTGGTGCTGAGGAATCGAACCCAGGGCCTCATGCATGCAAGGCAAGCGCTCTACCACTGAGCCACCTTCCCAGCCCCATTTTTTTTTTTCTGCCTATGTGGTGCTGAGGAATCGAACCCAGGGCCTCATGCATGCAAGGCAAGCGCTCTACCACTGAGCCACCTTCCCAGCCCAATGTCACTGGAAGTTTTTACGTGAAGCAACTTTGACTATACAAGCATTTTTAGAGTGATCTGTAAATGACGTGATTGTCACATATGCAATTGAGGTCACAAAGTCAGGGATTTGTGTTAAAATTCATTGCCTTTTAAAAATTAGCTGTTACTTTATCTCTATAAGCCTCTCCTGCCTTATAGGAAACTTGTAAGACTTGACTCTTAAGTTCAACTGGTAAGACTTGCGCACATACAATCAACATGTATGTTTGTTTGTTTCTCTGTGGTTTACAGGAGAAGGACAGATTTCACCTAATTCAAGTGCTCATTTTGTAGTTTGGAGTTTGTTTCTTCTTTTCACCTAAAGGCTGATAAGCAGTGGGTATTTTGTTTCTCATAAACAGCTCTGCACTGTCATAATGCTCTCTGGAAGCACTGGTAAAGTCATGGTTTGGCAACTTGTTTTTATAGAAGAGGTCCCTTTGGGTAGTCCTTTGTCTTACAAAGTTCCTCCCCACCTCAATGAATCTTATTGTACTTTCTTTCATCAGCTGCTAACGGGGCTCCAAATTATTTTCACTGTTTAAGCTGAAGGTCCCCTTACCGGTGTAAGCCACAGATGGTCTCAGCATTCCTGCTGCTCTTCTCTGGAGATGCCAGATTATGTGAAGTTCTTTTTTGCATAGGTACTATGTGAATAGCAACTCCTTAACTCACTTTGCATTTTTACTACAGGGGACAACAGTTCGCTCAGCAGATACAACAACAGAACCCTGAACTTATAGAGCAACTGAGGAATCACATCCGCAGCAGATCATTCAGCAGCAGCACAGAAGAACATTCCTGATTTGACCAGGGACTCTAGTCCTCAAACAAAAGGTTTATGACTCTGAAGTATTCACTGTAGATAGTGTAGCCAAAAACAACAAAAAGCACCATATCTGACGTTTGAAAATAATAGAGGAAAACCTCTTGTGTATATTCTTAAAGAATATATCTGTTTAGACATTAGTTTTAACACAAATAGACTTGGACATTACGTGACTCTTTTGGAAAGAAAATGATCAACAGATGTGTTAAGTGCTAATACAGTACTGGGACAAGGGTCCATTCATTTTCCAACTTTTACCATCATATTTGTATATTAGACTTCATATGGGAATATATTTATTGAACAGCAGGGCTATTTATTGGTAAGTTGTTTAGCTCCAGATTCCCTTTGGCAAAGTTTTTTGAGAGGACAATGACTTAAGTAGAAAGGTTTTTTTTTTGTGGGGGTGGGGGTTTAAAGAAAAATAGTTGGCACAGATTATGTCAGGAAAGAAGCTTATGATCCAGATTTAGATTGCTCTGTGCTGCCAGTATTGAATACATTTCACAGGTGTCAATACTGTCATTAATGCTGTTTATTCTGATGACAGCGAATCCTAAGAGCTAGTGGAAAGCAGCATTGGTAGAGAGATGTTTTGAAGAGAAAAGAAGAATATAAATGTATAGGAAGTACAGATAGGGGGCTCAGGTTTTCTGTGTCATTCTTTACTAGTCTGAAGTTTACTATCAACCTTAGCATGGCTAGTTATACTGAAGTACATAATAAAATACATTTAGAAATCCTTAATGGTACTAGTTAGGTCAATGATTTAACTGTTCAACTTAAAATTACTTACCATAATTTCCCAGGTAGGAAACTTACCTTGGAAATATTAAACATACCTATATTTGAATAAGTCAATGGCTTGACTGTAAATTAAGGATTTTCTGAGTGGAATTTAATTATGTATCTATAAAAATTTTTTTAAACCTTAGTAGCTGGATAACAAAGAGCATTTGTCACTCATATTGTTCATGTGATTCTCTGCTGCAGTTTAGCCTGATGTGCCAGTCCTATACTTAACTTTGTTATAATGTAAACATAATAGACATAAAATATTTTATTATACGTACTAGATGCTCTATTCATGTGACATATGGTTAGGCGAGTATTTGGTATTTGGTACTACCATATAGCTTTACATATAGTGATGGATGAGACAGCTCTAACTGGGATTTTGTTTCCTAATCATGAAAGTGGCTAAGTTGGGATAAATGTAATCATTTTGACAGTACTGTGAGGATAAACTGAAAAAAAAAATTACTGAAGATAATGTAACATGGGCTTCAATGGTCCTGTTCTCAAAAGACTTAATTACTTGTTTTCTTGAAGTTTAAAGCCTTATATTTTTTATCTTTTGTGCGATAGTGTTTCTGTGATTTCACTATAGTCATCAAGTGAGGGAAATTCATTAAAAATGCAAATATAGGGCCATACCTTCAATTTTTATGTAGTATTAAGACCTAGGAATGACCATATGAACTAAGTGGTTCTGATGTAGGTATAAGGACTCAAAATTTCAACAACATCATGTTAAATCCCTAACTCGACCAGCAAATACCTAATCACTTGTTTTTGGGACAGCATGAAGACCTGTATGAATCTATGATTCTGCTAAAGAAGAGTAGGACTTAAATCTGAGGTCCTCTGAAATTAAATCTCCTATATACTGTCTAACCCATGATTAATTTTCATGAAGATACATATTCAGCGCCTGGTGTTTAAATGTTACATGGAATGAAAAACTAATCATATAAAAGTTATAATTGTGATTAAAAAAGGCAAAGTAGATTTTGATCCCTAATTAAAAATTTATCCAGTGTTAAATAAAAAGTTAATGTTTCTAGTATAACTACTTTGAATGCATTAAAACATGATTTCGAATCATAAGATTGATAAGTCTCTAATTGACTGACGAGGGAAAAAGAAAATACTGATTAATAGTATCAGCATTGAAAGAGAGCTAGGAATGAAGGTCATTTGTCTAACATTCAGGAGACCATGTGTCTGATCCCCAAAAAGAAAAGTGCTAACATAGTAAGTCCCAAAAAACATTAAAGGATAATTAGAACAAACATTGTAATTAATTCTTACCACCAAGATGAACACAAATTAGGGTAAAAAAATTACCAAAACTCACTGAACAGACTTTCATTTATTAAGAAAAACTTTTCAGAAAAGAAAACCATTGGTTAGATGATTCAAGGTGAATTCTAACAAACCCTTAGGGAAGAATAATACCAATTCTATATAGTCTTTATAAAAGAGAAGAGGAAACACTTCTGAGATCAGTTTATTTGGCCATTAGTACCCTAATAACAAAACATCAGGAAAAAACATTGTTTTCATTTGCTGATATCTGTAGTTAAAAGATACCCATTCTTTTCACATGAAATTATAGGAACTGGTGTTCTTCCATTTCACTTTAGTTTGTTTCTTTGGAAATACCACCTATAATAAATTCAGTCTCAGCCAGGCGCTGGTGGCTCACGCCTATCATCTAGCTACTCAGGAGGCTGAGATCAAAGGATCATGGTCCAGAGCCAACCCAGGCAGGAAAGTCTGTGAGACTCTTATCTCCAATTAACCACCATAAAACCGGAAGTGGCGCTGTGGCTCAAGTGGTAGAGTGCTAGCCTCGAGCCGAAGAGCGCAGGGGCAGTGCCCAAGCCCAGAGATCAAGCCCCACAACTGACCAAAAAATATATAAATAGATAAGTAAATTTAAGGAAAATTCCTCTACTATTATTCTTTGTCTGGAAAACAGAGTAACTAGGAAGGCATTAGAGTAAATCTTTACATCCTAATTAGGAAGGCTTGATTTGATTAACCAAATTTCAGTGCAGTAGCTGTAACCAAATATGCTGTCCGTTCAAATGACATTTTCATTTATTGTATTAAACTGTTAATGGAATTTTTATAATATAGTTTACTCAGATCTTTTATGGCATCATCTATTTTAAAATATCAACAGTATGTTCTAGGTCTTTGTAATTAAATCAAAGTATATAGCATATTCCAAGTGACCATTACATTATTAAAACTTGAAAGAGACAGAGATTCAGTCTTGAGAAAATGATTGGAAAACAAAGTCCCACATATAGTGGCTATATCATCTTATTTCATCATGTTATCAAACTTAATCATTATGGAGGAATGACAAACTTTAATTATGCATTACTTGCACAGACATTTCATTATTTCTCTAGTTTAAGAAGCAACTTGAGTATAGTTTTTGTTCTGGACCAAATTTGTCATGGCAATAAATTATGCATTTAAGAAAAAGTATTTGCTTACTGTATTCTTACATGTAAGAAATTATATATTGTGGAGTTTTAGCTAATCAAAATAGGATTTTTATTTAACTGCATAAACTTTTATTTTCTTAGTAAAATAGTGAAGTATTTTGTTATATACCTGTGGCAAAGCTCTTTACTACAGCTTTCTGTTTCATTCATGGAATATGACTACATATATGACTACAAGGAAAATTTTGTATTTTTAGCATATGATTTGAGTTTAAAGTATCAAGATGGGAATCCTTTAAATACATGTTAATAAAACAAGTAGTTCATTTTTCAATGAGAAAAAAAGGATTAGAGAAGTATTAGGCTTCTTAGTTAAAACTTAACTGAGAGTTGGGAAGGTGGCTCAGTGATAGAGTGCTTGTCTCACATGCATGAGGCCCTGGGTTTGGTTCCTCAGCACCACATACATAGAAAAAGCCAGGAGTGGTGCTGTGGCTCAAGTGGTAGAGCACGAGCTGAAGAGCTGAGGGACAGTGTCTAGGCCCAGAGTTCAAGCCCTACAACTGACAAAAACAAAAATCAAAAACTTAAACTGAGTAATCGATTCAACCTAAAAAATAAAAAATTCTGCCTATTGTTCAGAGTTTTACGTTGGATGTATTTGTATGTGTATACACCAACACAGACACATATGCATACAATAATTCTGAAAAGTTATAACAGTTTATTCTGTGTTAAGTAATCAGACTATAGGTTTACCCATTGGTTTTAAAGCAAACCATTTCTATTGACTGAGGAGCTAGAAAAAAACTGTAATTAACTATACTAGTTATCTGAATATTTCTAAACATGAGAATTCTGAAGTCTTAAAAAACAACTATCTTTTGAGACTGAGGCCAGCAGGCTGATTTACAGGTAGATCTGACCAATTGCCTGTTAGAAACACTGCTGCTCTTGCCCTCGGATAGAAGAGTATTATTTGTCTGCAAAGCCTAAGCTGTTTTTCATCTTGTCAAAAAAGTCTTTACCAAAAAAGGGCTCGCTAAATTTAGATAACTTGCTAGGAACAAAGGGCCTCAAGTCCAGAGCTGTTGAACAACAAAGCCCAATGATTATCGAAAATGAAACTAGGTGTAAAATACAGACATACATACCTAGAAAACAAATCACAAAACGAGTTCTTTTTCTAAAACAAGTATTTAATATTTTAGCTGTTTTACAGGGAGAAATTTAAATAATATACTTATTTATGTTGTGATGATCATTTCACAAAATTGACAAAAATACAGAAATTAAATGAAAAGTGGAACATTAGAAATTTTTTAGCTTTCCACTTCAATGGCCGAAGATACCACACAGACTTGTGCGATGTCATCATATTCATATGTTCTCTTTAAAAATGTGTCTGTTAGCCTTAAGCCGGAAACACTCTATTGAAAAAAAGACATGGGCTTTAGTTTTCATTCATTCATCATGACTAATAACTGTAAGCTAGTCCCCATACTGTAGAAATTACTGAAAAGAACATACTTGTAGTCCCTGAACTGAAGACAGCAGAGTAAGGGCAAGGCAGAGAGAAGAACTCGGATGCAGCTTTCCCAGCTGTCTTCCTGAGATACCACACCAGTGAATAGAACTGGTATTGCACATTTCCAAAACCAGATCCATGGTCCTTTCACTGCTAAAGGAATCAGAAAAAGAATAAACCTTGCTCATTTTACAAGGAGGTACTATGTTATCTGTCAACATTTTTGCTTTCTGGTGTAGAATTAAAAAACAGAACTGAAGAGTTATTTTGCAATTATTTTACTTAATATATAACTAGGCACCAGATGCAGTGGGCCCCTATCTACTTGGGAGACTGAGATGAGGAGCATCACAGTTTGAACTCAACACAGGCAAAAATTCGTGAGACCCCCCATTAGCAAAGTGCTCATGCCTGACATCCCAGATATAGTGGGAACTATAAACAGTATAATCACATTGAAGACTAGGCAAAAAGTGAGACCTTAACTCAAAAGCAACCCAGCAAGGCCAGGTGCCATGGTTCATGTCTGTAATCCTAACATATGCACAGCACCTTTGGGTGCTTGGCTTACTGAGCTCCTACAATGTGGCAGGCAATGCATTTACTAAAAGGGATATCCTTTTTTTTTAAATAATTCACAATCTGGTGGGGAAAGGCTAGTAATTATAGCAATATGAGGGTGTTACCAAGAACCTAAATTAAAATTTGCTGAAACGGAAAGATTAAACAAGTAATAAGGCTTGGAAGGGTCTAGATAGAGGAAGAAGGTATTTCTGGATTCTGAAGGATAAATATGCCTTTCCCAATACCAAAAAGCTAAAATGGATATAGTTATAAAAGGATTACAGATTCATACTTAACACATAACAAATAATAAAAGTATTATCAAAAGTGACAGGACTAGAATTTAACTTAGGTTTTTTTCCTTTCAAATCTATGTGTTCTTTACTTTCCAGCAGCTAGATTTTTTTTTTCTGTTTTCTATCACAACTCTTTTAGCCTGTACTTCCAGCACTAGGGAGGCGGGGGGCAGGAGGATCATGAATTTGATGCCAGCCTAATGAGGTTACATAGTGAGTTCAATGTCAGTTTTGACTCCACAGCAAGATGTCTCAAAAAATAATAAGCTGGGCACGGCTGGCTCATGCTTCTAATCATACTACTTACGAGAATCTAGAGGATTGAGGTTCTAGCCAAGGAAGAAAAGTCCTCACAACTTCATTTCTAATTAAGACACCAAAATGCAGGACTAGAGATGTAGTTTGAGTAGTAAAGAACAAGCCATGAATGAAAAGGCCAAGTGAGAGCTTGGGGTCCTGAGCTCAAGCCCTGGTAGTGGCACAAAAATAAGCTAGTAACAATAACAACAAAACAAAAACCTGGTTTTCCAACCTATGATTCCTTATATTAAGTTCAAAATAAAATTGGGCTTTTTTAGTATTAAAGATATAGCTTATGAAGAGCTGAGGGACAGCACCCAGGCCCAGAGTTCAGGCCCCACGACCGGACCCCCCCCCAAAAAAAACAAAAACAAAAAAACAAAAAACAAACAAAAATTAGAAAATAAAAAAAAATACAGCTTAATCCCAAGGCTGCCACAGAGAACTCCATTTTGCTACTCAAAGTGTATTTTATTCCATCAGAACCTGTTTGTAAATGACCTCCAGGAAATGGAAATGAGGATTTTTCTTTGAAGAAAATAAAAAAGAACCCATTAGTAATTTCAGGGTGAAGGAAGTATAAACCATGAAAAGAATAGGGTTTTTGAAGTCAACTACAGCTTGTTTTAAATTGTGTCTCCACCTTTTCTAACTGAGCTTGGGAAAGTCATTTAACTCTCTGAGGTGGAGTTCTCTTCCATAGAATGTGAATAATTGACATCTACATGGGTTCTGCTACATGAATGAAATAAAAATATGGGATATACCTAATACAGTAAGATCTCAAAATACGTAATACACTGCTGACATCAAAGAATTCTATACATCAAGTAGCAAGTTGATAGGAAACTGGATATTAAAGAAACTTTAAGCTTTTTTTAGGCTGGTGAAGAGGAAAGGGCAGTCATCCAGAAACACTGGCATTACCTGCAGTTTGTTATTTTACAGGTAATATGGAAAGGTTCTTCCAAGTTAACAGTATCTGGGATTGCCTCCAAAGACAGCCTGACATCTCCATAACCTGGAGCCTACAAGAAAAAACAAGCAAAACTGTTAAAATATGTTACAAAACTTTCGTACTCAAATGAAGGTACATCAGCACGTTTACTCAACAGACCATGGTCTCCAAACTGATGATCAAAAAAAATAATTCTGATTCATTTACCATGTCTTCACTTTTGCTGCTACCATCAGAAGAACAGCCTGCAGCCTGTTATGATTTACTCCAGGGTCAGCAGAGTTAGGATGAAACTTACTTATAAGATTTATGGGACTTGATCTTGAAGGTCTCTTTTCCAGAGATACTATAGTTTCTATAGACATAACTTTTTTTTTGGTCAGTCATGGGGCTTGAACTCTGGGTCTGGGCACTGTCCCTCAGCTCTTCAGCTCAAGGCTAGCACTCTACCACTTGAGCCACAGTGCCACGTCCGGCTTTTTCGGTGTATGTGGTGCTGAGGAATCAAACCCAGGACCTCATGCATGCAAGGCAAGCACTCTACCCTAAGCCACCTTCCGAGCCCATAGACATAACTCAAGCAAGGTTACTGCCTAATGAGACTGGGCTCCTGGTTGAAACTATCTAGGAGGAAAATGATGAC